TTGCGAATATTTTAGGTGTTTTGTAGAATGATAAGTAGTGCTCAACGAGTAGTTTTTCATATGAAACAGTTGGCCTTTTTGTATATAAAGCTACGACGTAGGAAAAAGAAATTAGTTTATGTGCGTTTTTTTGTGAGAAAAAAGTAACGTCGTCTTTTGTGTTTTATGAAAGGTTTTCTTAAGTGTAAGTCTTGTAGTATATCCTTGGTCGCATTGTCTTTTAATTGGAATATGTACAAATAATTTGTTCATGATAAATTATATATCCCCCTAGATTATATGTCAGTATTTATATGCTGAGGTTTTTTAGATGACTATATATCTCTCTGAATAGACGGTCTTTCAGAACACTTGTGTAGACTTTCGTACAAACTAATTCGATGAATTCAGTTTATTGTCATGAATTTATGACTAAACTCTCCAAAGCGTGCACGATTTATGTTAGATGTAAAATTTTTACCTAAAAGGTGAGGTTTTTCAGTGCCTCGTTCTGACTTCCCCTGGCCACGAAACAAATCAGAGTAGTGGTTGTGGTCAGACGTAAAAAGTTATTTAATATCAAATATTAAAATTTACATTTTCAGGTTCACTTTTTCGGACAAATTCATCAAGTAACTTTTTAATTTTTCTACCCAAAATGTGGTTTTAAAAATGGGATGTTATTTTAATGTGCTAACGAGAGAAATTAGGGAAAAAATGATAGTATTGAAAGTATTTAATATATGATAAGCAGTTTAGTGTCTACGCAGCCAGTAACAATTTCATAGGCGGGTTTCCTTTATTCATTCTATTGACTGTGAACGTCACTCTCTCCATTATACTCGTTGACGGAAAATGATTAGATACGATTGATATGGGGTTCATTAGGAAGTTCACTGACAGGAAATGGAAACGTTTGGTTGTCTCGACGTCCTTAATTCGGTAGAAGTTTTGGCCAAAACACACAAGTGCATACTACGAAATTATCATGTTATTCTTACGTAAGATATAAGGTTAATGTATGTCCTAGTTGAGGACAAAAAAAAAAAATCAAGCAAATATTTTGCAGAGGTGGTGCTTAAACACATAAAAAAAATTATCTGACATCTGTGTTTTGCTGTAGATGTGATGATTAAAACATTGAAAGTATTTTGTCTGGTATCTCTGTTGTTCTATGCTTGTTGCCTTAATCTTGACCAGGTTGTATCTGGAATCTGAAAAAAAAAACATCGTGCAAGGTAGGAAAAAGGAACAGTGTTTCAGTGGTTCAGCCAATGAATAATGTTATGCAGGAATAAAGTAATAACAAGAAGATCTCAACCGGTTTCTTGAATCAGCAACGTGGGTTGGGTTTGGAAAGGGCATAAACTCTTCCCAGTCTCCTAGGGATACAGAAAGGAAGATACCCTGTACGGATGATACAGACCATTCGAAAGCTCAATTTAAAATTCACAGCTAAGAATACAGAAAATGGCGCAAAGGCACCTTGACCCTATAGGGTTACCGATTGAAACCTGCTAGGAAAAAATGAAACCGTCTTCGCGTATTTTAACTTCCCTTAAGGGAACGTACTCCTACTCTCTTGCTTTCGTTTATGCGCCCTCTATGGGCGCATGCACAAGTGCTGGACTGGCTTCGCCTAAGTGTAATAATAAGAGAGGTGGCTGGAATAGCAAGATAGAGGCAAACAAGCAGTCGGAAAATGACAACGCATTAATCTTACTAGCAGCCTGAGGCCACGTTAATCGGGATGCGTGTCTCAGTTCAAAACTTAGTTAAGTCAGTCATGTTTCCTGATATTTTTAAAGTGGATTAATCTTCAACTTGAATGTAAGCAAATAAAACAAAAAACAGCCATTTGGACAGGTAAGTACCAAGATCTTCGAGTGTTGAGTTTCAGACTCTCTTTCCGCTAATTTCCTGTCCTAGAATTCGTCAATCATTGGTCGGAGTTATCACCATTCCGGCTTCTGGTCTTGTGCGAAGCCTGTATATCGTGGAATAGCGGAAATAATTGGTTCCTTCTGGAATTTTTGTTATCGGTTCGGTTTACTCAACACTGTTGGGATATGCTGGAGTTTCACCCATGTAAACGCTATTGAAATCAGAGAGAAGGCAGATACTAAACCACAGCGCACTTTCGTATCAATCGGTATGTATCTTTCCAAGATTGCCTCTTTTATTATAAATATAGAGGCAAGACCGATACAATGTGGATAAGTTTTAAGACGGAGCACTATATTTCGGCTGGCCAAACCAGCCGAAATATAGTGCTCCGTCTGAAACTTATCTACGTTGTATCGGTCTTGCCTCTATATTTATATTCGTTGTTTTGGGCAGATTAGATCACCGCTGATCCAACGTACAAGAGTAGGATTATCGTCCACGGTTGCCTGTTGAACACTTCACAGTTCTTTTCTTTTGCCCTAACGTAAATGAGCAAATTATCGAGTTTTTATTGATAATACGATGTAAACTGCTGGTTCCATAGGAAAGACCAGTACATACACCAGTCAGTTTGTTTTTTGGGGGGGCCTCCCGAAAGCTCAATATACAGGAGTTAACTTAAATTAATTAGTTCGATATTGGCGCTCGCTCCTGAGGAGGCTCTCCACGAGCTAGAATTGATTCCAAGGGAGGTTCTCAATGGGGTGATTGCTTATACAGTCAACGGTTAAAATTTTGGCCATTTTACGGCTCTTTAGTAACGTTCGAATGTTGTCAATATAAATTTTTCTCACGTTCAACTTTTTCTTACGGCTATCGGTTGAAATTTGTCAATTTTTACGCTTAACGGCTAAATTTTTGAGCCGTTTTACAGCAATCGGTGAACCCCATTGAGACCCTACAAG